ATTGATTATGGATCTGAAATCCATCTGCATTGTCACTTAATTTTACAACTAATATGTAATTTTTTTTCACCGAGACAAGAACTGAATTAATTAAAGTACCGAATAGTTGCTCGAAGGATTCATTACTTACCCACCCAGTGTGTCGCGTTCTAAGGAAGTAATCATAGGCTCTCAATTTTTCCTTTCTTTTCTAATACTCTGATGGAACCATACTTGGTACAATGGTTGGGTGTAAGTTTTCAAACCAGCTCTTTTTACAGATCCCCTTGTAAAATTAATACAACGGATAAAACTAAAGTAACTACAGTATAATACAATGGTTCTTTGCATTAGCTTTATCGGGATCCGATTCTTCGTCAGAACTTGGTTGGTGGCTTTCAGTTCTTGATTTAGTACTAGTACTGCTGCCATTGCTTTCATCCTTGACATCTTGCTTTGTCCGTTTGGATGCCGCAGGTCTCTTCGTAGGTAGAGTTTTCACTCTGACCTTTTGCCTTTTTTCTCTCTGCAAAGACGAAAGACGTAAGAGATTTGACGAGTTTGAATCTCTCTCCCAAAAAACGGGGAAAAAACACTCAGGTTGCTATCGCCAAGGTAGGTTAAGACTAGCATGCTGCATATGAGCTGTTTGTATTTTTGCCTATCCATCCCAAAGAAGGCGAACTACTCAGTAACGCCTCAGCGCACCGCGTGGTTCCCCTTCATTTGAGCGCATATGCAAAAGCAATCCCTTCATGTTGTAATGCCACATCATTATTCTATCATAGTCACATATTTTCGTTTACCTCCATTTTGACGGAAACCACGCTTTACCTTAATTTACGGCCTCAACGCGTCAAAATAGTCGCATCATTGCTGGAATATTAAGCACAGTGTGCATTGTAAATTATTGTTTGCAAAAATTAAATCTCAAATGTGTATGCTTCAATCTGACAGTTTATTAATACGTGGGTCGCAATGATTGTGATTTGATTTTTTTTTTTTTTTTTTTTTTTTTTTATATAACACCTACATACATTTAGAACATGCTCTTTAATTATTCTGGCGGGAGAACTACCTACTTATCGCAGGGGACATTTATAAAAATTCATACGTAGAAAAGTAACTTACATTGATCTTTTTCATGACGTGCAGCAAATTGAAAAGCTTGCATACACTCAAGATAGTTCCGTTGGCTTCGCGCCAAAATAGCTCGACCAAATTATCATGCGAAATTGTGGGGATTTGTGGAACACTGTTTTCATATTTTACCTAAAAGATACAGATCAGATGAGAGGCCTGTGTATAACACTCAGGAGGTTAATATGGAACTAGTCACAGATAAAATCATCCTGATTACATTCTATATACTCGTAGCTTTAGGGTACCTTAAAATTTATATCAGTGCCCCAGAGTTATAAAAGGTACATAACTCCACTTTAGCCATTCCGAGATAAAAATGAAAACCTGTGCGTCGGCCTCATTAATTCCGATGTAAATCGCAATTTTTGAAATTCCGCATCTCTTAATTGGCGTGTTAATGGAGGAAAAAATCAGTCAAAAGAATTTAAACCTCTACATTCATGCACGCAATTTACACCAAACATATACCACCAAACATATAACCACATCTGTACACCAAACAGTCGTGTGATGGTAAGTTTCGCAACCTACTGCGCTCTCTTCCAGTTAGCGGAACTCGCCAAAACATTTGCCGGAAATTACCTACAATGTATGTCTGATAAAGTTATCGGGTAAAGGAAAGTCTTCATTTTTTCAACTTACTCGAGTTTTTTTCTCTTTGACCATTCAAGGTACTTTCAGTTTATCTTTATCCACTAATGTTTTCTTTGTTTTGATCATCTTGAACAGGTTAAACGATTAAAATGATATAGTTATGAATTCATTATAAGCTAATACAGTAAAATGTATATTTCATATAGTTTACTGATCTCTATTTTTATTTCACTAAAATTTAAAGTTGAATCAAGGAGACCCACGAACTTGGTAGAGCCGATACAGGAGAATGAGATCCTCTTCGCTCAGTGAGTAAATCGTTTTTTTCAACCGTCTTCGAACTTTTTTCCAGTCTACCTAAAAGTAAAAAAAAAAACCTCAAAATTAAAATTGTATTAAGCGCTATCCTCTGCTCAATTTCAGTACCGTCATGAGGGATATTTGATGGTCCAAGCTCGCCGTTTGGATTAATTTATGGAGGTTTTTCAAAATGCAACTAAGTATTCGGCCTCCAATGACACGCTAGGATCTCCTCCCCATGAAGGCGTTTCTTATGTGTTGTCACACATCATCATATAAATATTTCAAGCGACCGCATTACTCACTGATCTACGCTGCTACAGTGTTTAATGGGTATTAAAACGATGAAATTTATTCGGCCTCCAAAGCCACTTTATAGAAAGTATCTTTCCCCAATGAAGGCGTTTCCTATGCATATTTATACTTCATCAAATGATTATCTCAAGCAACCGTAACTTTTCTCAAAGGGAAACAAAACAGCACTACTTTATCAAAATACGTTATATGCGTGCCATTTAGCTTTGTTAAGAGTAGCCTCTGAAAATATCACACGTTGATATTTTGGTGGAGTTTGCTTTCGTAAAAATAAATTTGAGCCCAACAATTGCAAATACTTGAGATAACATGTATGTTTTTTCACGTTCACATTAATCGAGTACATGTTGCATTCATGCAACATAAAATAGTCATCACCCCGGATTATTTTAATTATTATGATTATTTCTTTTTTACTAGTATGCTCACCTCAACAATGAAAATTCATCAACAAATAAATCACCTCAAAATACCTTTTGTTTTCCAGTCGTTTTACTGCATTTTTTCTTACTTTTCTTCTCTTTCCTTTTCGTGCCGTTCGGGCTGAAAACAACAATACAATCAGTCGTCAGCATATAAATTGGAAACATGCCGCATCGTGAGAAACTTTCCTAACATATGTATCAAATCACATTACGTACAACTTGAAAACTCAATAAACAAACCCCCCCCCCTCCCCCGATGTCCCGGCAAAATTTGAATGAAGCCCTACGTCGAAAAAGAAAATAACACAGAAGGGAAAAAACAAACAACGAAAAATGCAAAACGCATACTATTTAAACTTCTTAATCAAATTAACTAAGCAGGAAGAAGGTAAAACCACAACTGTGCAAAGGCAGCAGTGACAATGCTAGGTTACAGGTCCCCTAATTCCTCCAAATTTCCTTATTCTTATCGGATATGCAATATGATCTCCGCGGAATTGAAATAGTTACTCGAAGTCAACGTAAACTTTCAGCGACGATCCGGAACTGTGGGGCCAGGCCCGAACTTACGGGGGTGTGCAGGGCGTGCGGCGCACACTGGCGCCAGCCTTTGGGGGGCGCCACGAAAGAAGAGGAGAGGGGAAAAAGGGGGGGGAAGGAAAAGGGAAAAAAGGGAAGAAAGGACAAGGGGAAAAAAGGAAAAGGAAACAAGGTTGGGCAGTGGAAGCAAGGAAGAAGGGGGGGGGGAAATGGAAGGTAAAAGGAGGCAAGAAAAGTGAAAAGAGCATCCGCGAGAAAGGGGGGGGGGCATAAAAACCATAGACAAAATATAAAGAGAATTGCCGTCTAAAGGTAAATTTTCAGGACAAAAACTCCACCTGGTCCATAGACGGTCAGGAGCCCCTTGACCCTAAATTTGCGGCTGTACAGAAATACAAGAGTAGGCATGTAGTAAAGGGGCGCCATAAATCCATCGAACAGGAGCCGACATAGCATTTTAGGCCACGTCCGCCATCTTGGATTTGATAATTTTCAAAAATCGACTAAAAATTCGAGTTTCCCGTCGAAAGATACCTCCTGACACCGAATTTCAGGAAAATTCATCGAACAGGGGCCGAGATAGTATTTTAAGCCATTTCGGATTTTCGAATTTTGAATTTTTTGAATTTTGACAGATTTTGATTTAAAACGCGTGATCCCCAAAATCGAAGCTCAGATTCGGATTCCTCGTAAAAAATCGATGCGATTTCATGTATCATACCCTGACACCGAATTTCAGGAGAATCCATCGAACAGGAGCCGAGATGGCATTTTAAGCCATACTTCATGTATCATACCCTGACACCGAATTTCAGGAGAATCCATCGAACAGGAGCCGAGATGGCATTTTAAGCCACGTCAGTCATTTCAGATTTTCGAATTTGGAAAACTTTACTTAAAACGCGTGATATCCAAAATCGAAGTTCAGATTCGGACTCCTCGTTAAAAATTGATACAATTTCATGTATTATACCCGAGCATAGCGTAAGAGACGTAACGTAGTCATACTGATTCGAGCATATGAATCCAACGTGGCAACATGGGTAGTGCTCAGTGGGTCAGCGGAGGAGGAAGAATAAGAATTTATCGTGAGGAATTCCTCGGGACGAAACCGAATGCTTAGCGCCGGCCGGCGCTTCGCCGTTCGGTTGCATCTCGGGCGACCGGCGCGGCGGCGTAGTTCAAACGGGTAGTATGACAGAATCTATAAGCGTCGTTAAACCTTTTTCCTTCACGCTATTTTAACATATGATACATGACATCTCTTCAATTTTTCACGAGGAATCCGAATCTGAGGTTAGATTTTGGATATTTTGCGTTTTAATCTATTTAAAATCGTAAGAGAATTTACAGAATTGTCCCTGAAAATTGATCACACGTGTGTTTTTTTACGTCATTAAACCTCTTTCCTTCACGCTATTCTAAAATTTTATGCATGAAATCGCATCAGTTTTTCACGAGGAATCCGAATCTGAGCTTAGATTTTGGATATTACGCGTTTTAATCTATTTAAAATCGCAGGAGAAATTACAGAATTGTCCTTGAAAATTGATCTCACATTAGTGATTTTTTTACCCCGTTTTTCTTCTACGTTCACGTAATGAAATTAGATCAACAGTTGACTCATCGACTAGTCTAGCCTAACCCCCCAGAATCGGTCTAAAGGGCGAACGATTTTATTAGATAAGATGTGCGGTCCTAGTTTCCGGGCAATTGCGGTTTGATGGAAGCTGCGATGAGGAGAAACGGAAGATATGCGAAACTCGGGCGGATATTAAGTGAGAAACCAGGTAGGGGAAATGCTTTCTTCCCGAAAAGTTAGTGCTCGGGCCAACTTACATGGTCACCGGAGCATTGTATAGCAGGTTGTGGGAAACTATTTTTTTGCAGCAACAACCAATTGGATCGCATTTTGCAAAAAGGAACTAAGAGCATTTCAATGTTGCTGGGATTGTGCATAACTTAGGTACATTCTTTGCAAAAAGTAAACTTTGCGACGGTAATTTTCGTCTTGAATTCATAGTTTATTGGGAGTAGAGGTGAAACTAGTTTAGATGATCGTTTATGTTTGCAAGGTTAGCGACATTGGAATGCTCTTGCGTGTGGCGCGTTTGACAAGACTCCTGGCTTGCTGAACACACGCTTTGCCAACGTCAAATCAGGCCCGCCACATCCCATCTCGGGCCCTGGTACCAGTTTTAAGGCCCGAGCCCCCAGCACAGAGGGGGTCCGGGAAATTTTTAAAATTTTATATCTACTTGAACGTATTTTTGAAGCTCCCATGGCGGATATTTTCCATCAGTTTCTGCAGAATATTAACGCTTTTTTTTTATTATTATTATTTTTATTTTTAGCACAAAATACTTTCGGATTGTTGCATTTACAACATCTGGAAATTTTTTTCGGGGGGAGGGGGAGCAGATGATACTATTTTCAATACTAGGGGGGTCCAAGCCCCCCCCCCTGGACTCCCCTCTCGTACGTCTATGGCAAGGAAGTTGAGCCATTGAAGTCGAGAATGCCCAGACTGGAGACTCTTAGCATCCGACGACGGAAGAAAGTGGAACGCAGTTACTAAAAATATCAATTCATACTAAAAATCTTGAAAACAGATATAAATCTGTAAAGAAGTAAGAAAAATTCTACAGTGCCCCAGCGTGTTTTTGAAAATTTATTCACCTTTTGCGAAATTTTTGGGGTAAATTTTTAACTTTTCCTTACGAGACAAGGGTTACTTGTGAATTCGTAGTGGTTTTTCACCAGTGGCACGGGCCTCTCCAGGGCCCGGGCGCCGGAACCAGGGACCCGGTATCCCCCCCCCCCTTGTGGCGGGCCTGCGTCAGATAGAAGTTTTCTCTCTTTTGAAGAAGACAAAAAGAAAGAAAAAAGACAGAGGCTGTCACGTCTGTTTTAATAGGATGTATTTTACTTGCCAAAACCGGATTTAAGGGGTGACCACATGGGCCGCGGCCCATGGTGGCATTTAGGTGCCGGCAAATGTTGTAATTTTCTCAAATGTAGGTATAGGTATCAAGAAAAAAATCTGATCCAGAATAAAAATCACAATCGAGAAGAAGCAAAAAAAATCTCTAAATTACTGAAAGTTAAAGTATAGTAATTTCTAATTTGTTCGTCTTTCGGCGATACAAGAGCCAGCGCCTTCCATTAGTCTAGTTGAGAGAGAAACCAAACACGCAATTTGGCCTGGAGCAGCGCGGCGCAGACAGCAATGATGACGAGGACTTGAGATGAAAAGGGGAAGCCCTCGGTCAGCATGAAACACATATTAGCGCCTACAAGACTCTACGAATACTTCACGCATTGCGTCAAACGTAGTGCGGTCAGCAGCGGTTTGCGTGAAACTCATTTTGCCTGCAAGACTGCATGAATACTTCACGCATTGCGTCAAAAATAGTGCGGTGAGCAGCGGTCGGCGTGAAACGCATATCGCCTACAAGACTGTAGGGATACTTCACGCATTGCGCCAAACACTGTGCGGTTGGCGCGGTGGCGGAAATTAAAATCATTAAACCACATTCATGTTTATTCTTCTATAATTTTTCGTTCTCTTCTTGTAGATGAAAGGCCTCGTCCCTACAGAGATAGGTTTACGGAACTTAATTTTCGCGCAAAGTTCCGTGAATTTTTGCTACTGTTGACAGAGCTTTCACAAAAAAATATGCCCAACACGAGTAAACGCGTCTTATACACCCCTCCTCTTCCGGCACGTTAACTTGATGGTTTGTATCGATGTTTCCAAACGAATGAGAAGGGGGCGGCAAAATGCAGGCGGCCCATGTGCGGCAAGTAGGTAAATCCGGCTCTGGTACTTGTAAATATTTTCCATCCAAGTTACCAGTACCTTTTATCCGCAGTTTTACTTGATGTACATGGACATTTCAAGGAAAAGTATTCATAACCCTAAAAAAAAAACCTAGAAAAACTCACTCACCCGACGCAACCATCGGCTTGGCTCCCACTGGGGCCTGCGATGTGCGAGTTTTCCAGGTCTCCACCGGTGGCAGCTACAGTTGGCTCAGCATCTTCAATCCTGCTGGAAACTCGAGCAAGAAGACCGCTGCCCGCGTTGTTTCTGACGTGGTGATACCGTGGGGTGCCGGGCTGCGCAGATTGGCTGGACGTCGATGACGTCATCGGTGAATTGCCTGATGGTCCAACTTCCGCATTTTGCACATGGTGGAAGGAACCCTCTCGAATGTCACAAGGAGGCTGTTCTAATGTGTCAACCACAGTCCAATTCCCTGTTGGAGTTCGCTGTATTTGGTGGCCGCTCATTAACTAGCCGACAGGTGGAGTCGCCATCGTCTAAAAACACCCTAAATTGTTTCCAAATCCATTATAGTTTATCTTACACTGATGGAATCAAGAAAATTGAAAAGGTCGGCTTTCAAATGCAAGTGAAAGGGGCTGTTCCCGTCCCCCCCTACTCGTTCTTAAGTGGCTCACCTGAGTTTCTTCCGTTTTAAGGGATGATATTTCGTGCAAATCCCGTAGCAATTTATTATAGGGTACTACTTAACACACAATATTCTTGATGTACTTGTTGGGCAAAATTTTGAAAAAAATTTAGGGGTGCGGGAGAGGGGCGTAAAAGGATGTCATACATGGACGTATTTATGCTAAAAGGAACTATGTGCATAGGGTCTGCGTGCAACATAGTTCCTTTTAACAAAAAAACGCCCAGATATGAAAAACAATGGCGTAAGCTGAAGACGCATGTTAAGGTGAAATGGGTTTAATCAATTTCCATCACTTTTCAGGATTGTTGAAGATATTTTGAAGATTTGTCCTCCCCGCCAGACGTCCTATCTGAACAATTTTGCCCCCCTGAAATTTTTGAACAATAGGGAATGAAACTTTCGATTTCCATTCGTGTAGTAAAATAGAAATTCATCATGATAAAAGAAGAATGGCAGGAGAGGGGACGGTAAAATTAATGAATGTTTTCCGTAAACGGACTGTGAGCTATTGAGTATCGTAGGTATAATTTTTAACAGACTATCCTAAGAAAGTTTTGGGAAGTTGGGGCATGTTTTCTGATGACAGATTTTTTTTTTTTTTTCATCGGGTGAAATAGCAACAATTTGATGCTGTTTTTAAGAAATGTGTACCCACTAACCTTCGTTCAATCCATCAATTTTTAGGGTCGGAAACAGGTTTTCATGAAATTATTCTATTGACGATCTTACAGCGTAAGACATGAACTAGGAGAGTAAAAGACCAACAGCGTATTTGAGATATCGTAAGATAAAATATGTAACTGAATAACTGAAGGAAAATAACTGAACTTAGTAGCTTACTCTGAACCCGAATACTCGGCGATAACCTAACTTCGCTGGATCAACAAGAACAGCTGACGTGAGTTTGGCAACATCAGATTCAAAAGATTAGAGATTAGCCTCTAAATTTCAAGTATAATTCGTTCAAACATTTTCAAAATTTACAAGTGGGAAATTTTCTTCATATCCTTGCCAAAGTCGCCGATTGCTTGTTTCGAATGACACCGATTCTTCTTTGTCCATGAGAAGTCAATTTTAGAATGTCGTAAAAGGTATGAATTTTATGTTAAATGCAGAATGTAACCCCCTCCGTTGTTACGGATTTCACGGTGCGATTTATGTTACGCCCGTTGTTGGTCGGTGAAATTTTGTTTAAACCAAGAGTTGATCTTATCAAACAAGATACCTGTTGCAACATCATGCAAAAATAATACTAGGATAAAATATCGAGCCCTCTATGAACATTTTATCGCTGCGAGTAATTATAAACTAATTGATTTTTTTTTTACGATACTGTACGATTAATGGAAAACCAATCAATAAACATTGTGTCAAATAAGTTCTTATGTTTTTTAGATTTTCATTTTAGTCATTCAATGGCTATCATTATTTTTTCAAGAATTTCGAGGAAAATTTTCTTCATCATGAAAAATTTAATTCATGAAAAATAAATAATATTATTGTCACCCTAGATTTGGCGTGCTTGTCGGATACTCATAATTGTTACATTATAAAGAAATAGAGGATATGGATTCTACGCAAAAAGCTACGCAGGATTGATATGGCTTTTAGTCTATTTGCTCCAAGTTACTTTAGAACCCCATTTCCCTCTAAGAAACCGTGTATTTTTGGAGGGAGATAGGCGCAAATAGGCCTGCATCTTATCATTTCTTCGTAACTTTTCGCATAAAATCCAAATCTGAAATCAAAACGTACCCTTGCTTTTTGAAATTTTCGACTTGTGGCCCTCCAAAGCCCCAAAATTTTCGGGGTGTCGTGGCCACCTTAATTTTGGATCAACAGGGGTCTTGTGGCACATCAATAAAAAGATACTGACCTCTTCTCTCAGGAGACTTTTAGATTTTGAAAATCGGATAATTTTTACGCCTACAATGTCGAATTGAAATTTGCCGAAAAAATGCCCCAAAATGCCCTGTAACTCCAAAAAATGGGGGCTTAGGGCAAAAGTGCATGGAAAAAAAGTTCTTATTTTTGGCCATAAAATTTAAATTCAGAGTAAAAACATACCCTCTCTATTTGAAATACGCGAGAGACCGGGGGCACCGACTTAACACCGCCCATGGGTTTTTGGGGGCAGAAAATATTTTCATTGAGTTCTTTGGGGATGATTTTCTCCTTTGAGTTTTCTTCCCAAAGCTCAATTTTCGGCCATTTCCGAGAAAAAGATAGCGGAGCGGTGCTCTGGAGCACCTGGTAGATTCAAGCAAGTTTTGGAATTTCGCCCCCTGTTTTTTTAAAAAATTCATTAGTTGGATTTGTTCTTTACGCAGAAAACCTGAAGTTCGGGATTTTGAAGATGAGAGGAGCGGACTTGGAAGCCTGCTCATGTCCTTTCTCCGTCGTTGGCTGAGTATGGGGAAGAATCTACAGCCCGATGCACCCCGCCCGAATCAGTCTCAACCAACTCAAGTCAGTATTTCTGCCTCTTATATTTTGAACTCCATTTTAGTTATGACGTAAGAGAGAGAGACAGAAAAAATCCTCATTCTCACTTTTGGGAGTCTTTCAATTACAAAGCAAGCAGTGGCGTGGCGTGCATTACGATGTATCGATTGTTATGCCATTTAAACCTATGGTAAAGAATCGATTATTAAGCTGTTCGCTGCGAACACCCTGTTCATCGATTCTTTTCCATAGGTTTTAATGACAGATCAATCGATATATCGCAAAGCATGCCACGCCACTGGTGGGTGGTGGTTGCGTCCTTTTCTCAGCCCGGCGTCGATATGTATTTTTCTTGTACCGAAGTTTCAAAAATCAAAGCCTAAAAGCAGCAGCTGTACTTCCGTGCTAAGGAAAAACGCCGTATGAACCTTCAGGCGTTGCCAAATTTTCTTTGATAAAACACGAATTCACTGGTAAATTTATGAATATTTTTCTTTTAATTTTTTGTATTATTTTGTTTGCAATTTCACCTAAAGTTCCTGAAAATTTCAAGGAGAAAGATTCATTAGTTTCTTTTAAAATGAACGATTCATCGAAGGAAATTTGGCAACTCTCGAATGTTCATACGGCGTTCTTCCTTCGCACGGCAGTATAATAAAGGAAACATCTTGCTCAGATCAGAGGCACTCAAAGCCACCCATAGATCCTAGTAAGAAATAAATCTCTGTCGCATATTTGATCCAACGATGGCAACCATGGTATTATCCATAGTATTTTCTTTCGAGAGGAGTTAGAACTTTATTTACTGTGTATTGGTACGTACGTTTTTAGGAAGCATACTTAAATTAAGCATTACATAAGGAGATGTGATTACCATCCCCCCCCCTTCAAAAGTGCTTAGCGCATTTTTCGGTCCTGTCTAACCGACGTCGCGTCGGTGTGCCTGAGTCACTAATCCCCGCAAGCACTGCTTAAAATTTAATTTAAAAGGTCAGTAATACCTAAAGTAAGGGGAAATTGGTAGCCGAAGGGGGGGGGGCGTTGGAGCAGCGCACAATGGATGGCTAGCTTATGCACGATTGAGCACAGGTGAGAATTTCATGAGCCACTGCGCCGCCGCGCACTATGGTCCAGAACTCAAGAATAGGAAGAAATAAGTCGGATAATGACTGAAAAATCACGAAAGCTTCGTTTCGAATGTGAGTCTCTAATTTCGAATTTGATGTCAAATTGCCAAGATTTTAACACCCTGACCTATAAGTTGTGGGCAAGTTAATGGCACGCTGCGACGCGGCGCGGCGCGGCGCACTGCCAGCTCGAAACGCACATTAGCACCTACAAACCTAAAGGGATACTTCAAGCATTACGCAATGCGTGGAGTAGCCCTTTAGGTTTGTAGGCGTCAGTGCGCGTTTTGCGCTGGCAGCACGCCGCGCTGCGGCTCTCCGGGTGGGTGGTGAACGATTTCTTGCGGGGAGAGGTCCCTGGCGGAGAAAATCGTATTTCGTGTAATTATTTTTTTTTTAAATTTTCGACTTTTAAAATTGCACACTGGTGGTGTGAAGTAATTAGTGAACTCTCAACGCTGGATAAAGTGTAATAATGAAAGGTGGGTTGTGCGCCATGCGCGCTGCGGACGGCGCGGTGCAGGGCGGCTCATTAAATTCTGCCCTGTGCTCTGTCGGCTCATGCAACATTAATTACGCGCGCTTCGATGGGAACTTCCTATTCGTAGTTCATTGGAAGACGTAGATACTTAGGAAAAACTTTGCTCGAAGGCTCAACAAATCTAAAATGGCAGGATCAGAACTAATCGACTTGACTTAAACTGGTCTTTTAAAACTCATTTTTCAGGATGGACCCTCACCAACAAGAGCACCTGGCGGCTCGGCTGTGGACAAAAGTGATACCTGTGGCGGTGAGTTGATCTTTCATGCACAAAAAGTAAAACCTAGCTATGTGGTCATTATGACCACATGCGGGAATCCTCGTGTAACCTTAACCCCCAAATCAATTATATCTATGATATACTTAATTTTTGAAGCGGCGAAGCAGAGCACAAATAAGAAATTATCTGTGCAGGTAAAATTTTTGGAATCATTTGCTAGCAAATATGTGGCCGTGTTGAATCTTTTGACTCTCGTCTGGCTTCCTCTCATCCTCAGCAGAGGCCAGTCGACCTGGCGTTACACGTGGCTCCTTCATTCAGGGGTGCAGAGACTTCCTCAGTCTACGCAGTTTTGAGCAACCAGAGATTCAGCCAACGCACTATGCAGTGGCGTAGCGTGCTTTGCGATAAATTCATTGATCTGCCATTTAAACCTATGGAAAAAGATCGATAAACAGGGTGTTTCTCAACAAACACCTTATGCGTAGTAGTTTAGAAATACCTACGTCCATTTGTTTTCAGGCCCAGGGAGTTCCTCTAAATCCAAAGGCGCATATTCTTCCTCCACCTCAAACCCCGAATACGAACAAGTCAAATCTCGAATCAAAACTTTCAGGACCCAACTTTTCAAACGCAATTCGCACCAGGAGCTCCTTGCTAAAAGAAAGGATCTCAAAGCACAAAGCGTTCCGCAGAACGAGTTGTCTGACGTTCAAGGAGCCGCTGATCGAAGAGGCGTCAGTGCGGCCCGACGTCCAGGTGACCGAGCTCCCACCTCCGAAGGTGCTCGTCTTAGACGTGAACGGTGTGACGTGAGGGCAGCGGCCAAAACGCTCTCACCCGTTATCCGACACCACACAGCCGCCACGGCCGTCTCTCAATTCCGCGTCATCGACGAGGCAAGGAACAATCTCCGCCACAAGAAGTCGCGATTGACGGCAGGAAACAACGGGTCCAGCTGGAAGGGCCACCAGAAGCCCTCCGATGATGACCACAATGGTGGATCTCACAATGCGGTGTTCGGGTACATGACCTTTGAGGAGCACGACGGGTCCATGTTCCGAGACGACGATTTTGCCGCTGTATCACCAGACTGCGGGTCATACGATCAACTACCCTTTCACACGGTGCCGGTGCCTTTTGACCAAAGTCACAGGTCGACGAGGCAACCTCCTCAAGGTCAGGTCCAGGTGGACGCTTTCCATAGGTCACCACGACCCCCCGAGCTGCATGGCACCACGGACCAATTATTTCCTCACGTTCCTCATCGATCGCCCGATGAGCGAGGATCTGGCAATCGTGAACGACTGGCGGGAGAATGTAATGCTGGCCAAACACCTGGCACTGGACGCATAGCTGGCCCACCGTTGACGAGGGAAGGTGTGCGCTGTGATCAGGAAAAAGCCGAGGAACGCACTGCTGATCAGCAAGCCGCCTCTTGTGAACAAGGTATTCAGCCGTGCCAAGGAAGAACGCCGTATGAACATTCGAGAGTTGCCATATTCCCTCTGAAGAAATGTTTATTTTGGAGGAAAGTTTGGAATATTTTTCCCTGAAATTTTTGGAATGTTTAGGCCATATTCTAAAAAAATTTATCTGTAAAATTTAGAGACGAATATTCACGAACTTTCCTAAAAATTAGTGATTTGTCACGGAAAGTTTGGCAACGCCTGAAGGCTCATACGGCGTTTTTCATTGGCACGGCAGTATTCTGCCTTGCTGCGTGAAAATGTCACATGAACATTCGAATGTTGCCAAATTTCCTCTCAGAGGATGTTTTTTTTTGCAGAAAGTTATGAATATTCTGCTCCCTTGCAATTTTCAGACTTTTTAGATCGAATTACGAACGAAATTTTCTGAGATTTAGGCAGAGAAATATTGACAAATTTTCCTGAGAATTCGTGATTTGTTGAAGTAAATTGGGCAACGCCTGATGACAGCGTTCTCTCTTTGCACGGCAGTATTCTGCAATTTTATTAGTATCGTTTTGGAAGTCAAAATAGTCTTATCACGAGTTTTTTCGTCGTAGCTGACTTTTCTACTCATGCGTTAAAGTCTCATAATCAGCGTGAAAGACACCGAGCTACTTTTCATTGTTATGGATTTGTGAGAGCTTCTTTGCTTCTTAATTGTGACCAGATTTTTGATTCCAGAAGGGAATCTCCCAAACTTTGAATTTTGCGAGAAAAACAATTGCGGGAAGCGCCTGCAAAACTGTAGTTATACTTCAAGCATCGCACTGTCTCCCTGATACTGACAATTAGTCTCGCTCTCGGCTCTTGACTCGCGAATCCCACCAAGTTCTGAGGTTCGTGCGCCATTTGGACATACGTCGAGCAGCGCGCGCACACAACTGCGGAAGGCGTGCTCAAAAATGGATCTCATTTTGATTAAAATGTAATACATTTTGTATCATCTTTCATTTAAGGTCGTATCCTTCGCAATTTTCCCACTGCCTCCACAGCTACCGAACGACCTATCAGTCGTCGGTTCTTGAAAGTTCTGCACCCCTGAAATGATATCGTGACTGTCCTGAATCGAAATTATTGGCGTGATTGGTAGATTCCTTAAATATTCAATTACAGCCGTGATCTTCATGAGTTACTAATTGCTGACATCAGGGATTTTTTGTTCTGCTATTTCTTTTTATTCCTTTCTTTTTACTAAATTTTATAGAGTTTTCCATTTTTTCCGATTCGTCCTCTTATCTTTTCCTCGTAATTTTCAATTTCAGGAAATCCTCAGTCACCTGAGGATAATCGACCTACGATCGGAGGAATCAAGCTGCCAACCGTGGCTTACATTAAGAAATGGCTCCGGGAACATGGCGATGAAGTAGTATCTTCAGACTCCTCCAGTGCAAAGTCGTGGATATCAACTACGACCGAGCTCACATCGAGTGAGCATGACGACTTACAAAAAAGCGAAGAGGGTAATCATACGTGGTCCTTGGACTCTAAAATGGGCGAACTAGAAGAAATGATTGCGAGAGTCGCGGCTGATCATAAATTTTTTGGAATAGATACTGAATCTAACCCAAAATCACCGCCGGGAGAAAATGTAGCATCCGATTCCAGAAAGTCGACCTCTGTTCCTGAGCACCCGGGAAACGCTAGTAGAGAAAAACTTGGAGAGCTACGCCAAGCCATAGAAGGGCGGAAATCGGTGGAGAGTCATCTGTCCGATGTTCGGGACCAACTGCAAAGTTTAGGGAGCTCAGCGTCTGACGAGGACCCCCGCTTGGATGGAAACCAACCGTTACCGAACTCCAAAGCCTCACAGAAAACGAGTGAGTCGTCCCCACGTTCAGGTGACTTACGCCTCACAGAGAGAAAGGAAGACAGCCAATCAGGAGGCCGGATACACCAGGTCATCATCAATGACCGCACCTTAGCGGATGGTACCTATGCAACGGATGATGATTCGGCGGAATCTTCAAAACAACAAGAGGTATTATTTGGAATTTTAGAACAGCTCAAGGAAACGAAAGAGGTTTTAGACGAGTTCGAGCAAAATTTAAAGTCAAAATCAGAGAGAACCGAGAGAGATTTCCCGAAAGACGTTCAAACACGTCAGGTGATAGCTCTGATTGAGGACGAAGGTGATGTGAAAGGCATGCGAGGCCAAATTAGAATAACGTCCTATTCAAATCCTGATCTAACAGAAGGAGAATCTCCGGAATTTAGTAGGCAGAACAACTCATTAGGAAATGAATATTTTGAGGGCAACGGAGCTTTACCTGCTATAGAGAATCCCACTATTGTACAACTGAAAGAGCAATTTGGAATGCAATGCAGCCTACACAACATGCCTCCTTCATTACACAATTTTGCGACCATGGAAAGAGCGCCGATGACGTCCGATAGAAAGGATCGAAACGTAAGACATGAGTCTGTCCCAACTCCACGAGCAGCTGAGAAAACAGAGCATCGCCGAAAATCCTTGCCAACTGGCATCATGAGATCTTTAGCAAAAGGTATATTGCAATCTATATTAGCATCTCAGCCGCTCACGCGGTTTGGTGCACAAGAATCGTCTGTTGATGTTGGAGAAACACTACCACAAAGCCAAGACGGGAAACGCGAAAGTGAAGGAAACTTACCTCTAGATAGTCCAGAGATCCCTGCAGTTGATGGAGGGTGTATCAAACGTAGGATGGATGTTGCAGAGACGCTTGCAGGTATTAATGAAGAATATCAGCAACTTCTGAATTTGGCAAATATTCCTCCGAAGGACCAAGACGATAGAGCACCAACTCAACAGAAATCCTCTATCCTGGATGATGATGTGTTTTATTACGATTCCATTGACATGACTGACACCGCAAAACAACCCAAAGAAAACACTGGATCTTCATTGCCTATCAATGAGGGTCCCAAATCCGGTAGTCTACAGCACTCTCATGACCTATCGTCGCATTCATCGACGCGGGGGAGAAGATTCCTACTCCAACAAATGCCTTTTTACTCAGAGGAACCCTCTTTGAATGTTTCACGTGTAATAAGTGACAGCAATAAGGCAAGGAGATCATTATTCCAACCGAGGCCATTTTATTTACAAGACTCGTCCCCAGTGAATACAGATGGAAACCTGTCTCACGAAATGTCTAAATCGTTGGGAAAGAGTAGTTCATCTAAAGGAGGGATTTCAGGTCCGCACAGGAGACCAGCACCGTTCAATTTTCAAGACGGGACATTCATTCACACAGATGTGAATGATGTGGTGAATTCGCGGGCCAACATCAGTATGAATGGAGTCGGTCCCATAGTGGTGCCTCAAAGTGCTTTTCAAAATTTGCCATCTCATTTTGCAAGGGAGTCATACTACGAACCTCGCAGAGCGGACCATTTCATAAGGCTCCCACAAGCCGGACCGAACAGGGTTGAGAATGTGACTTTCGACTCGCCACAATCTTTATGGCAACAATACACGAGTGATGAGAGAGAAGCCCAAAATTTCCGGACAATGAGCGAATCGGAGCGTAGGAGGATGGAGAGAATGTTGGCGCCGAATCCGACCAATTGCAAAGATTACCAGTTGACCTGTCGCTGGGAGCGAGTCCGTCAGCCAGGTCCAGAGCCACGTGAACTGGATATATATCGAACCCCTTTCAGAGACCCGAGTCTACAATCGATGCCCAATAGAGTCCTTTTCCCTTCACATTCGGGCCAAGTAGGAGGGACGTTCCCTCAAAGGTTCGGAATTGACACGAGGGAGACCCACTCTGCGTACATTCCTCGTGTTGGACAACCAGTGCAGCATATCCCCCTGCAATCACGCACTGCTCCACCGCGTATAGGAATGGAGGACCAGATGGAGCCAGAGTTCGTAGCCCCACAGTTGAGGAGATGGCAGGTGCAACCAGAGCTCCGGGAAACTCTCGACGAGCAGGCATATGCGCGGGCACGAGAAGAGAGAAGACTTGCAAGAATAGAAAATTGCAAGAAAGCATGCGAAGATTGGTCTCTCGGCTCTTCGTTGACGGAGGAGAGTTTCAGTGGCATGCCATCACCACCGTCTGGTACTTATGTGGTTGCTCCCAATGAAACATCACCGTATTCTGCTCAAAGTGATACATACTACGAAGATACACCGTCCGTATATGGTTTCGATACCTTCATACCGAGCAGCCATTCAACGTCTCTCGTTCGGCCCAGATATCAACAATATAACTCGACCCTGACCCACGAAAGTACTGGACTTAATAATGGCACGCAAGACCGTTTTCCTCCTAATCGCACGATCGATTTAGAGCCAAAACCGATTTCATCTAAAGTTTCTTCGAGGGCATATCTTTCATGCCCTCACATACCTTCAATTCATCAGCCTATAGCTGTAGCGCATGATCTAAACGCAGTCGCATTGTCCAAGACGCTTGGTATTCACCCCAATGTAACAGGTAGCGAATACTTTATTGCTGATAGGGGAGGCATAGGACGTAATCGAAACCAACCAGGCATTAACGCTCCAGCGGTGATGGAGGAAAATCTCTCTTCAGGTGCTGTCATTGCATTTCCCAGAGATAACGATACATTTTTTCCCAACCGAATGCACAGTTCGCTTCCTTGCCATTCTGTTTTCACCAGGGAGGTTTCAGATTCCAGACCAATGCATAGTACTCTTACACATGGCCTCCGTGCTAGTCATTCTCTTTCGTATTTGAACCCACCGCGGGATGCAAATTTGCTATTACAACCCTCTTCCTATTCCGAAAGGCAAATACAACATCATAATTTACCACAGACTTATTCTAATTTCAATGGATCGCACAATTGGCAGCACATATCTCCTCAGTTTACATCTTCTGCGAGGTCCATTTACGATGTTCAAAAATCACGCTCTAATAATGGTAGTCCAAGCAGCGCTCATGAAAATGCACAATTTTCATCACAGCACAACGGAACTTTCCGAAAGGTTACACACCAATTTCCAAGTGTAAATAGGAGCCCTCAAGATACTGATGCTTTGGAACGTTTTTTACGGAATGGCGCCCATACCCATGAAAGTGGTGCGGATAATCAAGAACTTCAAATGATGTACAGAAGACTCGATACGGCGCAAAGCACAAATCCGTCCGTGACTTTTAATGCGCAGCCTGAGTCAGAGAGAAAAACGCCCTCTCAAAGTATCAGTCCAGAACAAAATTGCCCAGGTTCAAGGGTTATTCCTGAAATGTATGAACATTCGCCGCTTTCGCAGAATATGGCAGTCCGATTAAATACAAGCTCAAGCCCGGATGAAGGCTTTCAAGTAGACGGAAAGCAACCTCAAGCAGATTATCGGCCTCAACAATACCACCCATCCAAATCTTTTTCGTGCTCTTTTCAAATTCATAAAAAAGCTCCTCAACCATGCATTCATGGCACAAAAGATGCAGGTGCTGACTCGTGCTTGAATGAGTTTCAGAATGAAGGTAAGCGGGGGAAAACAGCTTCGTATTTGGAAATCAATTTCGAAAAAAGCGGTAGAAAAAGCGCTTCATCAGTTTTCAATGGCAATAACACCGTTGGTCAGTCACCCTCAACTTACATTCGTACTATGAGGGAACCTCATTATAATAAAGCTCATGATGATTTCCTACCTTTGCCTGAATACAAACCTCCTCCAAGACGTGTCAGTTGTATTGACTCTACGCCACGTCACAACTACCCGTATCCTAGACCACCCTCCGGTTTGCCAGCTTCAACATCGACTCCAATCTCCCGCGCTCTTCCATTTTCCAATAGGGCTGCCAATGAATTCACCCAATGCAACTCTCCTCGAGATTTGAAAGATAGTTATAAGGTGAAAGACGGCAGGGACGATTCCGACTCATGCTCCGAATATTCCTCATCTTCGTCAGGCAAGGCACCAGTTAAGTCTCATTCCTCATCCAGCGGACCTCATGAAGCGAATTTCATCCCTTTGCCACAAATCCCCACTAGAACCATCGCTGAAGTCGTTGAGGCAAATCGGAACCATTATTCAAAGGGTCAAAGTAATATATCTCCAGAGAATACTTGTACCTTCATCCCTTTGCCACAAACTCCCTCTAGAACTATCGCCGAAGTCATTAAGGCAAATCGGAACTATTATTCAGAGGGGCAAAGTAATAAATCTCCAAAAAATACTTGTACCTTCATCCCTTTGCCACAAACTCCCTCTAGAACTATTGCCGAAGTCGTTGAGGCACACCGTAATATGTCTCCACCATATGCACAATATTCTCCCGCTCCTCATCTAAAGACATATTTTCAACCCTCCAAGAGTGGGCACCTAATCGATCCTGATGGATTTGAGTTACCACAGCCATACGCAGTTCCAGATAGACTCAACGTCTGCCCGGGGACATTCCCCAGGCCCAGTACTCAGATGAGAGTTCAAGATGAATATGGGCAAATCCATCGAATACCCTATGACCTGAAAACTGATCAGGGTTATATTCGACCGCCAAGACCGCCTCGCCCCCGAGCCGATTCCGTGCATAATTATCTTGTAGTCGATCAGAATAAAATAATCACGGCTGCAGACATTCATACCCCTCCACCTGACTATGAGAATAGGTATACGCAGGAGGGAAAAACTTTCAGGAGAAACCCTCAAATTCAACCTCCCGGTGAAGTACAGACTAATTGCAAAGGTTTGCAACACAGTGATATTCAGCAGAGTTTCCATCAGCCGGCCCAGTCTTACGACCAAATAACGGACGAGTGTGCTCCCTCAAGAATAAGCGATAAATTTGTATTCAACGAGACGCTTGATTCTAAAGCTTTGGCAGATGAAAGTCCCCCTCCATTTTTTCGGAAGCAAGATTGGGACTCGGATACTCCTAAGATGTTAGCAGATGAGAGTCCTCCTCCATTCTTCGCAAGGCAAGAGTGGGACTCGAGTTCTGCTACGAGTGATGAGAAGTGCTCGCAAGGTAAAGATTGTCCGTACTAGTTGATCCATAATTTGTTCTGACCAATTTTCCGAAAAATGCATAGATTGTTCAAATGTAATGCAACAGTGCATGTCCTTGAAATTGAAGAAAAAATATCTGAGCAACATTTGTAGCAGTTTCCCTTGACACCTACCTTAACAAATCATCCTTTATTTGGAGTTTCCTAATTTTGGAAAAATGCTTTTGACGTTTAACTGCAAAATTTTCAAGGAACAATCTTCGAGGCCGGCCCGAAGATCCTTCATAAAATCAAGAAATTTCTTTATAAAATCCAAATAAAGGTGTTGACAAAAATTATGTAGGTATGTCTCTTTTTAAGTTTTCTTTTACTCAGAAATTTGCGATTTTTGTGGAGAGGGGGGTCTCGGCACTCTTTTTTTGAGCTTTTAAGCTATGAATTTTTTACAAGTATGCGCTTTTAGAATTTTGCGTTTTTGGGTATCGTCCACCTTATGATACCAAAAACTTTACAAATGAGAAAAAAGAGTGAGCCCTATGCATGTAATTTTTAGTAAATGATATTGCCAGTTTCAGAATTTTCTTAGGATAGTTGCAGATTATTTCCATTTTCAGAAAATGTTTGCAGGAAATTGTAACATGATGTCACCTAAACGCTTATCCTTTCCGAGCAGCCCTGAAAGTATCCAAGACAGAAAGGACCCCGTGAGTACGGATTGTTTACTACCTGAGGCGCCTTCAACGATCAAGTCAAAATTTGAGGGCATTTTAAAGAAAAACGAAATTAGAGAAGTACAGTCTGCGTCAGGAGAAGTATTCAAGGATGATGTTGAGACATGCGAACTTGCTAAATATCCAAATGATCCCTCTAGTAAATCAGCAAAGGATGTAACTTCGTCAAAACCTATCGCTGAAAATGCTCTGTCCCCTTTCATTCCATTGTGCAACTCCACAAAAATTGACGAAAATTTGGAACATTCAAGGGATTCATTTTCCTGTTCACCTAAGATTGAGGGAAATGAAATAGTTCCAGACGGAGACATTTTAGTGCCACATAATCTGTTTTGTGACCCTAGGAATAGTCAAACCTTTAAAACTCCCTCAAATGGCAATGCAGAATATATAAATTATGCCCCGTGTAATTTGGGTATAGCTCAGGCCATTAAGACTCCTTTTAACAGAAATTCCCTACCATCAAATACTCCTGAGGCTGATTCAGTCGCAAATAAGAGCAAGGAGGCTTTAGAACGTTGGAAGAGCTTTCGTTCGGGCAATGCAGTTTTGGTTGACGCAATGAAAAGTCAGTCAAATGGTGGCTCTCAAGAACCGAATGATTCCGTTCGCAAATTAACAATGACTGATAAAATCCAAACTTGCTCCAGAAAAAATTTAAAAGCACCTCCTGGGCCTTTTTCCAGCACTACATCTATGGGAGGGACCATTCAGAGTCCCTTCAATGAAAACTCTCCACTTTCAACGATTTTCTCTAACGACGCAGCTCTAGCGAAAACCGAGAAAACTTTGGCTCGTTGGAGGAAATTCCGCTCATGTAATTTACCTTTGGATAATGCTATGGATAATCAATTATACAGAAATTTGCAAGACTCCAATGACGATAATGAAAATTTAACAACGTTTGAATGCAATAGCACTCCCTCAAACAAAAATTCGGAGCATCTCGACGATTCGTCATGTAGCTTACCCGTGACAGGGACCATCGAGAATATGCTGAAAGGAAAATGTTTGCTCCATTGTGATCGTTCGGGCAGCGAGTCAACAGTCCACGCCCTGGAGAATTGCTTCAACAACCTGACGGCTCTTGACGCTCTAGAAAACCGCTTAAGAAAAGTGACGACGGGAAGCGCCGCACAGATTTGTTCAAGCGAAAAAGCGGATCGTCCACAAAATCTAATGAGCGAATCGGCTTGGACCAACACTTTGGACATTTTTTTGAAACCCTCGAGTCATTTAATAACGGTCGAGTCTATAAGAACTTACTTGAACGAAAATGCGGACGATCCTGATAGTTCATCCTGCAGCTCAGCGGTAATTGAAGGCGAAAAGAGGTCCTCAGATGGGGATACTTCGCTTCAAGGTGATGTCTCAGGCTACGTGTTAACGTTTAGCGACCCGGGGAATCCCTTTAACGCTGCGAAAATTTGCTCGAATAGGAATGATGACTATTCAGATAATCTAAAATGTGATTCCGCTTGGACTGACACGATGGAAATATGCTTGAAGCCAGCGAGCAGCAGAACAACCATCCATTCCATGCTACCCTGCTTAAACCAGAAGGAGGGTAATCCTAATGTCTCATCATATAATGTACTTGTGGTTGAGGCCAAAGACAATAACTCCCAAGATAACATTCTACCCCAAGGTGATCTCTTGGGCAGCGTATCGATAGATGAGGAGCAAGGGAACCATCTCAATGGCTCGAGGGTGGCTCACGCTTTGGAGCTTTGCTCGAATGGAAATGTTGATAATTTGAATAACGAAAAAACTGACTCGCCTTTGGTTGATCAAAGGTTATCAAAGAGCAACGATTGCGGAAATGCTGATCATCCAAATAATAATCGGGGGTATAATTCAACCCCGGTGGACCCAACGGAGGGCATTTTGAACCATTCGAGCTCCTCAACAGCGGTTGACGCCCCGACACCTCTCTCGAAAAAAAATGCAGAGATCGCGCTACCTCAGTATGGATCGGCGCGAAGGTTAACAGAGGATAAATCCACGAGGAGCTGCAACGACGTCACTGTTCGGCAAAGAAAAGAGTCGTTGAGTATTGATACGTTATTGCCTCAGACGGACTCATCTCAAAGACTCCGCAAGGATAAAACCATGGCGAGTTGCTCGAAGAAAAATTGTCAACCACCTAACCAGTCCCGGAGCAGAAAAGGTATCACTGCAGGTGCCGAGGATATTGTTCAGAATGATGTGCTCCATCCAGGCTGCGTAACTGTATTTGAGGTCTTGGATAGTCCCTCGATCCGAAATTGCCAACATCCAAATGATCAATGCGGGTCTTCATCTGCTCGCCGAGGCTGTAACTCGGAGCTCACCGTTTATGCGACTCCCGGGAAAGAGCCGATATTTGAAGACATAGGGACTACTGCGCCGGTGCCTATCTCGAGATTTACAGGAATCGAGATGACAAGAGACAGTTCGAGCAGAGACATTCTGAGTAAAGCAGACGTATCGAAGGGCCTCGCGACATATGTTGAAAAAAACAGCGGCTCGAATCCCATTGCACATTTTCCACCGTGCAAATCAGGGATTATTCAGGTCGTAGAGTATGAAAATGGGCCGTGTTTGAATTGCTCTTCCTGCAGGGTAGCAACGGATTGCTCGGATGTAAAAACCCAATATTCAAAGGAGTCCTCATGTGGGGTAGTATCACCGGCACCAAAGAAGAATAGTTCAAATAGTAATATCACGCATATGAATAGATTTTGTGCGATGGAATCTGCGACCAATCATCCGAATGTTCAGCATGTTAATAATCAATTTGACACGCCAGCAGCCGCTCCAGTATCTACCTCCGGGGGTGCTTTTTACGTGAGCCCCAATTCAGGGCCAAGATATGAAGTCAAAATTGGAGCGATTACACCGTCTCATTTTCCAGTTTGCCCCACAGACTCCATGGACTCAGGGGCCTCCGCCAAGACATCACACCCCGGACTGTCCAAACCCTGCCTGGCGTATAGTTTAGAGTTCTTCCAACCTGACGAACTTCCCGCCCTCGGAACAGACGATGGCACGGAGAATGACTTGAAATGCACGAAAAGAGAGCGAAAAAATTGGTGTCTCGTGGAAAAAATCCGAAATTCTCATGAAAGCGAACTATTAAGTAGGTTACTTCAAATTTTACGGGGTTTTTTTATCGTGTTTAGTACAGATAAGCCAAGCATCAGGTTCCTATATTCTGGTGTTACTTGATCATTTTTAATAGAAAAAGTTGGCGGGTTTCAGCCTCATATCTCAAAGACAGCAATTAATTACACTCTATGAAATATATTTTATATAGGTTCCAAATTGGTCGAAAAGATGGCCTCATGCCTCATATTTGTTACACAGTGCCCTTTATGAGAGGAGGGAGCCCGTGAGGGTTATGGTGGACAAAAATTAACAGGAAACTCTCAAAATCATCCCAGTTTTAAAAAATAATATTTTGAAACTTTCTTAACACCGATATTTTAAAAATTCCTTTTCGTCACACACGAGGGACTTTCGATTTTACAGAATCCCAACAACCATAATTTCTTCTACTTTTTTTATCCTTTGTACTTCCATTTTTACAGAGGACCTAAATGATGATCCTCGTTTTTTGCTACTGACGTACCGGCTCGTGGGGTCAAAGGTGACAAAAAATCCTTTCTCTAAACTTACAACAGACGATAAGATACGGCTGGTGGAAGAGTTAAAAAAAGAAATGCCTCGTGGTGAATGCGCCTTCATCGAGCGATTGCATAGATTAGAAGAAGAGTTGGACGAAATTGGATTTCTTGATTATTGATAGACACTGTCCAATTTCACCACCGTCCTCACATCTGTTCTATCTATGGTACGTGAGTATCATCTTTTGTTTTTCAGTGTACTCATGTTTTTACGTACCTACGGAATTACGTCTATCAGCTTTGTTTTTTAATAAGAAGTTGCTCGCAATGAAGAATGAAAGTATCGATCTTCGATTCATCGGTTATATCAACGAAGATTCGATATATCATCACATGGATCGAACTTCATTATTCGATCTTAGATCAGAGAAGAAGTGGCGTGGCCTGAATGATCGATTGTCTATATTTCCCCCTTTGAGCTGTGGTAAAGAATCGATTATAAGGGTGTTCGCTGCAAACACCCTAATAATCTATCCTTTTCCATAGGTTTAAATGGTAGATCAAATGCCAAACGGAGCTATGTGCATTAAAACATGAGCTCTGAGACTCATAAGAATATATATAGAACGGGATTAGCAATATAACGCACATAGTTCTGTTTGGCAGAAATACATTCAATTCATCGTCTGTACTACATAGATATTTCTCAGTATAATAGTTGCACGACGTCCTACGAATAGTTGCATAAAGGCGTAGGATGTGAGTATCCCTTGGTAGAAATTGGCGATAGGAGCTGCGTTTCAACATACCATAGGAGTTCTTATAGCCGACTGAAGAGGGCAATAGAAAATCATATAGCTGGCTGTAAAAAGTGGAAAAAATCATACGGCCGGGCTACACGAAGCGATAAAAAATTATATAGCCGGGCTATAGTTCCTATCGCCGGGCTTTACACTTTATCGCCTGGCTGTTGCTTTTTCGCCATCGGCTATAGAAAGCTATAAGAAATTGTGTAGAAATTCTTGTGCTTTGTAAATCCTTAAGTTTGTACGGAATTACCTTAATATTTACAAAACGTACATTATATTTTCCTTTACTACATATTTTTTTTTTCATCAATTAAAATGATAACAATCCACACAGAGTGTGCAAACATTTCAAAGTCATGAGTTGAAAAACGCTGATTCCGCGAGATTAAATATTAGAGCCTAACACAAAGCGGAGCGGCGGCACACTGGCGCCTACAAACCTAACAGGGATACTTCACGCACTGCGCAATGCGTGAAGTATCCCTGTTAGGTTTGTAGGAGCCAATGCGCATTCAGCGCTGGCTGCCCGCCCGCCGCGGCGCACAGAGGGCCAGGAATCGAATTTAGCTGGACAAAAGTCCATTTTGGCTTGTCCGGAAAATTCTAAAATAGACACCACTGAGCGATAAGGTATATCATGGAGTATCTGTACATCACTGGGTTTGGGGGTCTTATCACTAATAAGACTGCGATGCCAAGATTTTCCCGAGCGCGCGTGGCGTGTTTATTTATCCTGTATGTTGGCTTGGTTCAACGCTCATCCAAAAGGTTATGTTCCACAAACCTTCGAGTGTTTCCCAACATAACGAGTGTTTTACCAAGTTAGATTAACATGTTTTCATTTTACTTTAAGGTATTTTTATCAATTTTGTGCATTGTATAGTCTGGTA